AAGGGCCGCTGCGGTCCTGCCCCCGGACGGGCCTTCCCGCCTTTGTTCTGGCTTCTCGGCGCTTCGCCGCTGGTGCAGAAGTAGTTGTCACCCCGAGAGCTGGGCTGGAGGTGCGCGGTGCCCCTGGGGTTGCCTGGCGGGGGCTCACTCCTGGGCCGGAGCTGGGCGAGGGCCGGCTTGGGCAGCCGAGGAGATACAGGGATGGATGCTCCGGAGGCTGGCAGGGAGAAACTGCGTCTCTGCCCTCGGGATTTACTGTTCGTTGTAGCCTTGCCCTGCGCTTCTCTCGCGTTTGGTTTCACTGAGAGACATTACCTTTCTCACGCAGTGCCCATGCAGTAACTTAAGCCATGATGAATCGTAGTGCTTAAACCATCCTTCCCTCAGTTTCTGCCGTTAAATTATTACAGGATCTGTCTGCAGTGCTTGTGGAATCTGTTCTGACTGACTTAAGAAACAAGAGTTTATTCAGTACTCTGTTTTCTTTAGCAGATATGAAGGTTATCACTTGTGAAATAGCATGGCATAATAAGGAGCCTGTTTACAGCTTAGATTTCCAACATGGAGCTGATGGGAAGATCAATCGATTGGCCTCAGCAGGTGTGGACACAGCTGTTCGTGTAAGTTTCAAACCTGTTTGTTTGGGGTTTTTAGCACGTACATAGCATGAAATACCTCGTTATCTGGTGCATGAGATCATTGGCCAGTACATCAGGTGGTGGATGGTTTAGGGAAAAATGATGAGATTATACAGCCATATAAGGAATGACTGTTCCCCTTGCACACCATCCTTGAGTTCTGCTACTGAGTGTTACACGGATATTTTTAGAAAATTACCTGCAATGACAGCTGGATGATATTCCTGAGTAGCAACTGCTAATGTAATGCACAGTCTTGTGGATTTATGAGAACCAACTGGTTTTAATTTATTCATCTTAATCAAAGTTGAATATTGGCTGTCATCAGTCATTCAGCAGCATGAGATCTACCTTTTCACTCAGCTTCACGTGCAGCTCACCTAAGTAATTTTGTGTTGGTGTTATCAAACTTTGTTAATCAATCATTCATCCTTTTGAGAATCCCTTATGGAAATGTTGAACAGTACAAGCCCCAAAAGATGTGGCTGTAAGATTCACTTTTGTAAAATCAGACAATTATTTACTATCTCCCTGATCCTTAATGCTTGTGAGGACACTTATCACTCCCTTTCTTCAACAGAATGGGGAGAAAATACAATGGAAAAGCTCAAGTTCTTGTTACTGTCATGGGCAAAACAGACTCAACTTAGGGAAATAAATTTAATTTATTGCCAAATAACAACACAGGAGGATAGTGAGAAGTAAGAACAACATTAAAATACCTTTGCCCTGCCCCTCCCTTCCTTTTAGCCTCAACTTCACTCTCAAATTCTCTACTGCCTTCCCCTAAATCAGCACAGGAGGACATAGAAGTGGGGCTGTGGTCAGTTCAGCACACGTTGTCTCTGCCTTTCCTCACGCTATTCCCCTGTTCTAGCGTGGGGTCCCTCCCTCAGAAGACAGCCTTTCACAGACCTTCACTCCAGCATGTGTCCTTCCTGCAGGCTGCAGTTTCTTCACAGACTGCTCCAGCGGGGGTCTTTTCCATGGTACAGGACTTCAGGAATGCAATGCTCCAGTGCGAGTTCTCCACGGGTCACTACCAGAAAACCTACTCCTGCATGAGTTCATTTTCACAGATGTCAACTCCTTCCAGGAGCCTGTTACAATGTGGGCTTTCCAAAGGCTGCAGTTTTCTTTAGGGCCCATCAACCTGCTTCAGTGTGGGGTCCTTCGCAGGCTGCAGTGAGGATATCTGCTCCACAGTGATCCTCCATGTGCTGCAGAGGGTCAGCCTGTGTCGCCATGATCTTCTCCAGGGCCTGCACGGGAATCTTGGCTCCCATAGCACCTCCTTCCCTACTCTTCATTGACCTTGGTGTCTGCAGGACTGTTTCTTACATTTTTCTTGCTCTTCTTTCACAGCTTCTGGGCAGTGGTTTTTATACTTACTTAACTGTGTTACCACAGACATTCCAGTGGCAGGACAGTCTTGGAGCTGGCTGGAATTGGGTTTGTCCAACATAGGGTCAGCTCTTCATATTTTCTCTCCAAAGCCACACCTGAAGATTTTAACCTGCCCCAGCTACCAAATCCTTGCCACATAAACCTATTACACAGCTGTAGCTCATAGAGCGAAATTTTGTGGTGGCACTGCAGCTTTAGCTCTGAAGGTTTCAGATAATAAGTTCAGAGTGACTGCCCAGGTAGTAAATTATGCATTACGGAGGTGTTACATATATTACATCTTGTTCCTGAAAACTAATGCTTTTGTGTCTAGATATGGAAAGTGGAAAAAGGACCAGATGGAAAAGCAATTGTGGAATTCTTGTCCAACCTCGCCCGCCATACTAAAGCAGTAAATGTTGTGCGCTTCTCTCCAAGTGGTGAGATCCTAGCATCTGGAGGAGATGGTGAGTAATAATGCATAATGAAGTTACTGAAAAGAAGATGTATCTGTGCAACTGGGGAGTGGAGTGGGGAAAAAATCCCAACCCAGTACAGGAACGTGTTCATACCCCTCTGACACTTGGAGCTGTAGACTCTTATATGCCCTCAGATTATAGTTAGCTAATGCATGTCATGCAATTCCTAGGTAGCTTCTCACTGGTTATGTGTCTGGGAAGCTTGGTTTTGCAGATAAAAAGAAATTACTGTCCCTGTTTCCCTGATGGGAAAATTGAATGGATTACCTAGTGTCACGCTGGGGAGCTGTGGCAGAATTTACAAATTTAAGCTTGTCTATCCAGGACCACATGGATTCTTCAGTCACAGTACAGAAAGACTGAGATATGCGTGTACTTTCTGAAACAGAGCCCAGTGTTACCTTAGTGGGAGATTTTTCAAAAGCCCAAAATGCAGAACCACAGCCGGCTCTAATCAAAAGCACATTGAAGGCTCTGCACTGTGCTCTTATCTTACACCTAGAAATAAATAATAACTTAAAAGTATATTGATTAAAATCAGTAGCTCCTACTGGAACCTGAAGCAGTCTAGCACCTCCTCTTCCCCACCACAAAATAAGAACAACTTTCCATGTGTCTTATGTCAGATAATTGTAATGTTGAACTAAATGTAGTGAATTAACAAAACACCGGGAAAGAAAGAAGCTTCCTATTATTTTTTTTCTACAGATGCTGTTATTTTATTGTGGAAGCTGAATGATAGCAAAGAATCAGAACCATTAGTTTTTCAGGATGAAGATGAAGATCAGCTCAACAAGGAGAACTGGACAGTTGTTAGGAGTTTAAGGTAACTAAATAATATACTTAATATTTAGTGGTTTTGATTCCCCAGTGGCTTTTATAATCTGCTGCAGTCTTCTGTTCAGTGTGTGTTGAACTTCAATGCTCTCTAAAATGTGCTTGTTCTAATATTAATCCTTCTATTTTAACATTTTTTGGTACAGTGTCAACCTACATTTTCTGTTAAGACAGAAGATTTGGCATTTATGTGACATAATTGACATGTTCTGAAGTTGGTTCCTGAGATTTGCAGTCACTTAAAGCCTAGCACAGAGATATATGAAGTAAATGTGAAGTTTTCTTTATTAGTTTAATAGTAGAAATGTTGATCATTAATAAAGCAGAATGTATCCATATGTTAAATGATTCACGCACTTCTGCCAGATAACAGCTGTGAGGCTCAACCATCTTTTTCAGCTTGTTTGTTTTAGTGGTTGAAATGCATAATTTGTTTCAAGTGTACAATGGTTAACGAAATACACACACTGTGCCTACTGATACCTAGTATTATGTGATAATGACTAAGGCATCAAACTGATTCTCGCAGTTGGACTGCAACAGTGTTCTGTTCTTCCTCTCAACTTAAGACTGAAAGAAATCAGTGGTTCTGAACTCTGAAATGCATTTTGGATATGCAGTATGTTTAACTGCCTTGCTTTCTGTGTAGTATCTATTAAAAGTTTTTGTCTCTTATCTGTCTATACTGATAAAATAATTAAGAATTAGCACCTGTTTACAAAAAAAACCCAACAAACTCTGGTATCCGTAATGGATACATTCCCTGCGACTGCTGACACTTATGTGAGAACAGTTTCAAAAGTGCTAGTGGGATTGCTTGGAAGACCAGCAAGATCCTTTAGGAAAATGAGAGTTAACCTCTTATAACAAGGAAACAAACCAATCCAATTGCCTTCCCCTAAATTTGGTGTTGCAAGTATTTATTATCAGACGTACCATGCTGTATGGTAAGTCTTCAAATTGCAAGCAATATGAATTGGTTTTGATGGAGCCCTTTTAGGTGGTTCTGCATATCTTGCAATGTTTGTTCAGCTTTATCTAAATCAGCCTTAACTTTCTGTTTCATGTGGTTCTGCTGTCTATGCGTTTGTTTGCTGCTTTTATGAAACTTAAAAATATGCAGGAAAGTTTTCTTGAATAGTGACACTACCTTGGTGTAGTGTTTTATTTTCTGTTTGTACAAGTACTAGGAACTTTCATATGCAGTACTTTAGGTACACATTCTTAAATTACTTCAAATTCAGTACTTCCGTTGTCTTATGAAAAAAATCTGTGAAAAGGGAGGCTTATTTTGAGTAGAAGTACTTGGAAATGTTCTACTGCCTTCTAAATATGGACATTTTTTTAAAATCTGAAAGTCATTTCACTTCAATGGTACTTTATTTGCCTCTGATTGTTTTTGAACCTAAAAATGTACACAATTAATTTTTACATGTAGCTGTTATTTTTAGATTAGTAATTGGTTTCTTCTCTTCTGACTTCTAGAGGCCACTTAGAAGATGTCTATGATATTTGTTGGACCTCAGATGGAAATTTCATGGCATCTTGTTCAGTAGATAACACAGCTATCATGTGGGATGTCAATAAAGGTAAATTCAGTGTTTATCACTTACAGCTCCAGTCCTGATGAAAGTGTCTTATGACATTTACCAAAAGAGTTGAAAGCATCTTTTTTTTTTGTGAGAGAACAACCAACTTAATAGCTAGACTTCTGGGACTGCAAGGCAGATAAACAAGCATGTAAAGATATCCTCAGGCCAGCATAATGTACACATAAGTAATCTCTTTACCTTGGAGTATTAGGGAAGTAAATTTCACTCAATTTCCACCCCACCTCAGCCCCCAAAACTCCTATACAAGCAGCTTGTGTATTACTCCGCACCTCAAAAAACAAACCAGACTTGACTGGTATGCGATAACTAGCTACCTATGCAAAATGGTAAGTATAGGATGCAGGCTCTGTTTTGCAATATGTGACTTTTTGGAGAGGGGCTCCATTCAGCAAAACTCTTCTGTTCATGCCCATCTCACTGCAGTGGGTTGCTTGTCTTCTCCGAAAAAGGCCCATCTATAGAAGTTCTAATAGTAACCAGCTAGATTAGGTTGCTTTACAGTGGCTTAATGTTTTCTTACTAGCAGTGTAGTCATTACTTTCACTTTTAATGTGGAGATCCTTAACTTTCTCTAAAGTTACACTTTTATCTCACATTTCTAATATTTAGTGTCTAATAAAGTAGAATGCACATTAATTTTTCAGTGCATGCAGTCATGAAAATGAGTGTTCCGCTGCTGCTGACATTTTTTATCATCTTGGTTTGGGTACTTAATGTCTCTCCCATCTGAACTGTCACATGTTCCTTTCTAAAAGTCTTCACCATAAATATGTGAATGTTCAGTTAAGAGTTTTTGTGCTCAGAGTGTAGGTACACATAGTAGCATTGTGACCAAAGGTCTCTTGCATCTCAGACTGCTTGTAACAACTTTAAAGGGACATACCTGCTAGACTTACTGCTAAGAAAAAAGCTGGATAACCTCTTAAGATGATACGTTACTTCTGTGTAATGTCTTCCATTCTCATTGGGTTTTTTTAGCATGCAGTTAGTACTGTGGAAGGCATTTTGTGTCTTCTAAGCAGAAACACGATTAGTAAGTTGGAAATAAGAAACTGTTACTGGAAAACATAGGCTTTATGATACAGTATTTTTTTGCAACAGAGCAACATGATACTAATACAAGGACAACCTCTGTCCCTCGTACTCAAAGCATTTAATGATGTTGTCTGTAAACTTACCTTAATGGTTTGGATCTTGGAAAATCATCATGGTCAGGGAGCTGGTGTCTTGGAGAAATGTTCAGGACAGAGTAAGCTGTGGAAGAATGTGAGTTAGCAATTCTGTAGACATGTTTCTGAAAGCTGCTTGTGTGTAAATGTCAGTCAGTATGTGTATAGTTTATATTTTTTACTAGTTGCTCAGCAGACTAAGTGAGTTTATACTGCCCTGTATAGGAGGAGCCTGACTATCTAGCCCCAGCTAAAAGTTAGGGTTTAGTACTGGAATTTCTCGCTCATTATTCAGCCAAATTCAGTTAGCTGTTGAACAGCTAGTCTTGCCTGAAAATGTTTTTCTAAATTGCAACAGTTTAGAAATACTTCTAGTTATCAAATACATTAATCTTGTGTGTTTAATGCCTAAGCCAAGCTGCTTATCTGAGTTATTTTGTAGGGAGCAAGCCTTAAATTGTCATGTCACAATTTACAGTTCTTTTGAAGATTGTAGAAACAGAGCAACTATTTCCCATATTCTTGTCAGATGAGATTTAAGTTAACAGTTTGTATGTTTAAAAGTTATTTTGAAACATTTTGTCTGGTGTTATTTCTGAAATGATGATATGTTTTAAAACACTTTTGAATTTAGAATCTGGAAACTGTTTGTAATTTCAGGACAGAAGGTTTCAATATTAAATGAACACAAGAGTTATGTCCAAGGAATAACCTGGGATCCTCTAGGCCAGTACATTGCAACTCTGAGTTGTGATAGGTGAGCTGTTGTTCCAAGTTTTTTGCCTTGGTATTCTTTCTTACTTAAAGATGAATTTAAAGCAAGTGTGTGGGATAAATATGAGTTTTCTTTTATTTTTTTTCAGATTATTCTTTAAGAGGGTTGATGTGAAATAAAAATTATACTTTAGTTAATCTTTTGCTTGTGGTAAGTGATTCCTGAATTTGAGCGTCCTCTCTGAGCAGCAATACATAAACTTGAGTAGAAATTTTTTCTTCAGGAAATATTTTTTCCTGGTATTGGTTGTTAGAGATAGCAAGTAAATCTTAAGAGAGTGCTGCATTCTCTGGTTGTTAATGAGCTAGTAAGTTCATCCTTGTCATTCTATAAAAAGATACAAATAGTTATAAGAAATAATTAAAAATGTTTTTCCACTGATACATTTCTTCTGCCCTCTTGCTCCCATCCACCAGCAGCTTTCTAAGTGATGTCATTGGGAAAGCTAAACACACACTTAATAAACTTGGTTCTTGTCAGACCTTTGAGTTGATCTTAAACTGTTTGGGGCATGTGTGCTGGTCTGAAGGGTTCACAGCTGGCTAATAAATGCATATCATCTGGCACCTGCTGCAAAGAAAATTGCTGTAATAATGGAAAAGTATTTTTTATTTACAGTGGACTCAGAAAAATGGTAGATTTATGATAACTAGGTCATTATGAGCCTCTGCCTTCTGATAATCAGTTATGTGAGATTTGTGTGCCTTTATTAAAATGAACAGCAGTGAAACACAAATAATACAATGATGCTGAAGGGTTTTTTTGAGTGAAGTTGCAAGCAAGGGCATGAACTAATCTGAAGAGGAGAAATCTCCCACCCCCTCAGGTTTCTACCACTTTTCTGCAAGGGTGTGTAGAATTGCTGGATAACAGGAACAAGGCCAGTTGCAGAACTAGGCACTTGCCTGCCTGATGTGGGGAGACCTGTTCCCCTTTAGGCAGACTAGCAAGTGTTTCTGATATCTGGAGGCAGTAGCTGCACAACTGTTTCAAGCTGTCTGCCACAGCCTCACCTTCTATTAACTTTTCCTAGCTCTGTCCAGGACTCTGTGGAGCTGTTTCAGCACATTACATCAGCAGAAAACTGTCTGTTTTTTGTGTAATCTTGTTTTTCTGCTAGCCTAACAAACCAACATAAATTAGTAGAGGTCAGAGATGGAAGAAAAGAGAGGATGGTGGGATGAGCAGTTGGGTTTGTTTAGGCTACCTTTTGTTTTAGTGAGATGAAATCACGGGAATTCCAGCATTCTGTACAGAGAATGTACATACTCCCACTTTCTTTTAGACCAGAGGAAACTGAAGCATAGAGGTGTAGCTAAATGACTTTCAGGTGAGTTCCCGCTATGTGGGAACATACTGGCTGCTACACCATGGGTAGGAATGGTATGGCTGTTCACTGTCCTCTAATTCCCTCATTCCTCCACAAAAGCATATACTTCACGAACATAATTTTCAGAGATTCGTTGTTTTTTTAGCTATCAGAACATGTCCACCTGCTTGTGTCTCATGAGCAGGTTATAACTAATATGTGATTGTCATTTATATTTAGCAGTCCTGACTGAGAAGTGAGGGGCTGTAGTGCTGTGTGAAACTTGGGGTGAAAGGAAGTTGTAGCTAACTCTGCTCTCCACCATGTAGGGTCCTGCGGGTATACAACACACAAACCAAGCGTGTAGCATTCAATGTTACCAAGATGCCATCTGGATCAGGAGCTGAAGGAGAGGTACAGTGTCCTGGAGAATGGTACTGGAGAATGTGCTGGGTACTATTTATATTAATTGCTCTGTTCTGTGAAACAAAAGGAGCAAATATTTTCAATTTGGGTAGTCCACATGTCAGGTATTTTTGTCTCTACACCTTTCCATTGCGTAGAGACCACTTCAGGTTTCCTCAAAAATTGCAGAAATTACTCAGAAAGAACACTGGCAAGTATATCTAATTAAAATAGTAAGACAGTGTCTTTGATTGTGAATGTTAAAAATAATGTGGAAAAAATAGTATGCATAGTGAATTCTTAGTAGGAAGAACTTAAAATATGTCTGAAATTTTCAAAAAGGTGGTCTGATTTTTATATGAACTAGTGAAAATTTATTGAATTCAGTCTAACTGTAAGAGGGAAAACAAAGAGCTTTCATCTCCCAAACAATTCTAAGTGATGGTAAAATAACACCTCCAAGCTGGCTATAACCTTTTCAATTCCTTCTGTTCCTTTCCTTTTTTTGTGAAAACATTTGTAACAGTTTTATAGAGAGTAAAGAACAGGCCTAAGAAAGGGTGTTTTGCCGTTATAGAAGTTTTCTTTAAACCTCTAATACTAGAGTTAAATGCCTTAGGAACAGGCTCTTTTGCTGTCTGTTAAATAATGTTCTTATCCCAGTTATTACTATTTTTTTATTACTGGTCTAATGTGACTGCTCTTGGAGTGTTTTGATTAGTACCTGAAGAGGGATCAAGGACTATTTTTCTTAGCTGTGGAGAATTTATAGCACAGCAGAAAGTATGTTTGAAGGAGCCATGGCTTTTGAAACACTTACCTTTTATAATAAAAGCTCCATTGCATTGGATTGTACAGCTGGATGGTTTTTCTCACCTGAGTTCCAGCTGATGCTTTCGTTGCACTTTACACAATTATATCTTCAATGTTACAGGCCAGGAGCTATCGGATGTTTCATGATGACAGCATGAAGTCATTTTTCCGCAGGCTCAGTTTTACTCCTGAGGGCTCCTATTTACTCACTCCAGGTATGTGAGAACACGTACTATAACATATCTATTATGCTCTAGCTTGAATGGTGCGTCAAGATTGCTTTTGAACTGCTATGGGTATTCTTAGTTGTCTTAATTATGCCTTTCCTCGTTCTTCGTATCGAGGAAAATGGAGATGCCACAATACTCTTCCATTAGCAGTCCAGAATGTTCATTTTTCTCCTGTAGTAAAAATAACATGGCATTTTTCAGGACTAAAATGTGTGCATTATAACGATACAGCTCTCTTAAAATGGAAGTGAAGAACAATGAGGGGCTTCATTTGACTGGTCTCTTTTTGTCTGTATCCATTCTTAAGAACATTCTGCAGTAACAGGAAAAATAACATAGCAAAGAGGGGATTGATTTGCCCATACAAGCATTGGTTTTTTAGACATCTGGCAACATCAAAAAGAAGCTTTGAGGGGGAAGTATATAAGCACAACAAAAAAAGCACTAAGTAAATATTTGGGTTGCTTTTTTAAGTTGTGTTCAGGTTGCACCGCTCTTGCCCAACTGACAAGCCTAATTCCTGAGAAGCAGAATGTTTATGGACATAAAGTGTGTACTCAGTACCTTCTTGAGTTGATGATTAATGCTTTAACCTTTATTTTTGCAGCTGGCTGTGTTGAATCAGGAGAAAATGTAACAAACACCACATATGTTTTCTCCAGAAACAATCTTAAAAGGTAGATTTAATAAGATGAAAATATATTTTTATTTAAAAGAAAAATTAAATGCTGTTTTCTGAAGTACTGATTCTTTATAAAAGGCCCATGGGTCACCTGCCATGTCCTGGAAAGGCAACTCTTGCTGTTCGCTGCTGCCCAGTCTATTTTGAGTTGAGACGAGCATTTAATAAAGGTACTGTAAATCCTTCAGGGAGTATGATTTTACAGCTAATATGTGAAGAGGCCAATGTAGCTGTTTATTATTTTATGCTCTAGCATTCTAGCATTCCATTAAGATAGTGTTGTACCACATCTTAGAAGCTGTTTCCTGACTCTTAAGACCTTGAATTCACCTTAAGGACCTTGCAAGTAGCTTTTGATGTAGTGGATAAATGTTCTACTTGGCCTCTTAGGCTACAGAAACACTGTTTAATATTTTTCTTTAACTTTTAACTATTTTGTGTGAGTAAAAGTAAATAACTTGGCTTAGCAGTAAAGGAGCAACACAGTGAAGTATTTTCTGTTAGTCTCAACTACCCACGTCACAGGAACTCCAGAGAGTTGGTGTAGTTTGCAGTTACCATTGCTATTTATTCAAGGAAGCCAAACCTGAAGCAGTGCTGGTGTTACTGACCAGAAGAGGATTTCTGAGGTGGGGATAGAATTGTATGAAGTTGCATTGAGAACCTACCTGGAGATTGAAATCTAGCCTTATTGTGAGCCTAGTGGGTGCAGGAGTGTTCTCCTGTACAACTTTCCTTATATTTTAATGAGACCAGTCTTACTCTGGTGAAGAGGCATAGCTTTGCTTCTTTCTTTAGAGGGTCAATTTGTAGTATTCCTTACAAGATACAGAGATTACCTGCTGTGTGTCTGGATTTTCATCATAATCTTTAGATCCATTGTAAAGATGTGTTGCAAAGGGACGAGATGAGTGTCTGCTATTAGTCTCTGTCTCCTCTGAAGAAAGTGTTCAGTTTCTGCAACATGCACCCAAAAAAGTGAAAACCTATAGTAGTTTATAGTAGAAATAGTAGAAGTTGTATGAAGTTGTATTAAGATACCTATAGTAGAAAAAGTATAGATGTGAGTACCTTACATTATGTTACTGGCCTGTCTGTTTTAGTGCATAGCTTCCACAATCATTATGGAACTGAACAAGAGCTGTACATGCTGGAAATTTCAGAAAGCAGTTAGCACTCAGCTTCCAGTAGAAGCTAGAATAATCTGTCTTTGCAAAGAACTAATGTTTCCATGAAAAGACAGCAGAATGCAAGATAACATAGACCTAAAGCCATTGTTTTGATTGAGTCATGCAGAGTATGTAGTGTTAGAAATGTTTTGTGATCTTGATTTTCACTATATCTTGAGGTGTGTTTGTTTAGACTTCTGTACTAAAGTACATGTAAACATGCTGAAAATTTTCAGGTAGAAAAAATTTTACAAACTCGCAGAACAAAATACTAGCAATCCAGCTGGACAAAACTTCTGATTTCTCTGTTTTAAACTGAGACAATAGAGGGCACACTTGAGGCAACAAAATTGCTAGTGCTTGATATTAAACTTTACATTGTATAGAACTGCTGTTTTCTCAGCCATTATCTTGATACTGATTGATAGTGAAATCTTTGTTTGTATTCATAACTAAGCTAGTGCAGTTACTACCTTGCAAGGAATAAAAGAGAGAATGCTCAATGTATTAATTTCTTTACACTCTAGATGACAACAATCAGAAATCAGCTCCTGCTCTTTTTAATCTCCCCTATCGATTGGTGTTTGCTGTTGCTTCAGAAGATTCTGTGCTTTTTTATGATACTGAACAGTCTTTCCCCTTTGGTTATGTTTCTAACATACATTATCACACCCTGAGTGACATCTCATGGTAGGTAATTGTTATATTGTTAAGATTTGTTGTGATGTAAATATCCTTTTTATGTGTTGAAGTTCTGCATGTCTTGTGTCTTGCTGTATTTTTTTCTTTTGTTTATGGCATACACATATGGTCACTGTCACGGCAGTGTTCTGAACAGCAAGCTGCTTCTGATTTTGCCCTGTAAATTGGAGAATTATGTTTTTTTTACTGGTTGGGAAACAAGGTGCAAGCAGCCCGAGGTCAAGCAAATGGAAGTTCTTATAGTTCTTATGAAAGCTACTGTACTGAGTGCCAATGAAAAGTACTCATTGTTCAGGTAACGTAACTAATAATAATGAAGTTAATCAGAGGCTTTGGAAAGAAAACATCTATCTCTCTGCATTCAGATGTCTTTATCCTGGCCAAATTCTGTATCAGCAGAATTCTCCTTAGTAGTTCTTCGTGTATCTGACAAAGTAAATTATGTGTCTTGATGTGGGGAGTCAGAACTGGAGCTGAAAACTGAACCCAAGTCTTGAAATCACAATACACCCTTTTGCTTTAGAAGGCTTCTTCTCTTATGCCTTTATAGCTGGTATGCTTAAGCTTAGGACCACATGGAGATCTCTTTTTCAGAAATGACACCCTAAAAACCATTGTGTGTCAGGAGGAGGGGAGTGAAAGAGAGTAGGAATTCAGGTGGAATCCAGGTGTTTTTAATCAATGATAGACATTACTTGGTGAAATGAGCACAAGAGGGCCTGTTCATGGGAGCACCACGGCGATTCTGAGCATTGCCTCTTACTTAGCACAGCCAAGGAGATTGAACTGTTCTGCTGCTCTGAATGAGGAGAGTTCAGCAGTACTTTAGGAATTGTGGCTGAAAATTTGTGTACTTACAATTGAACTATACTTTGTGCCAGCTCAAATGCATGCAGGTGCTGGCAGCAGCGTATTGCTGGTGATTACAGCCAACACCAGAGAGATTAAATCAGATGCAAAGGTCAGAATTGAAGATCTTTTTTTCATTTGAAATTAATTTGTTCTCACTTGACTGCAGTTTTCTTTGAGTGTATACATGTACTTGGGAAAGGGAGAAAGAAAACATAAGTACAGCTTGTGTTATAAATGGGGGGTGAGGGGTGAAGAAAAGCTCTGAGCTTTCCTTTTAATGGAAAAAAATATATATCACGAACAGGTCCAGCAATGGAGCTTTTCTTGCTATTTCTTCCACGGATGGATACTGTTCATTTGTTACCTTTGAGAAGGATGAACTGGGAATACCACTGAAAGAGAAGCCACAGATGAACCTTTGGAGTACTGGTGCAACAGAGAAAAAAGTTAAAAAGAACCAGTCACACAAAGTAATTTCCCCAGGCTGCAGGCAGACAGAAGAGACTCCTCCCAAGAAGGCCACTGATCCCAGTACCCCTACCCTCCAACCTAGGACACCCACAGCTACTGGTAAGGACTTGCCTTCCACACCTGCTGGCATAAAAAATGTTCCAGTCTCATCCTCAGATGAGAGGAAAATCAGCCAGTCAGCCAGCCAGAGCACTAAAGCAAACCTGCCCAGGAGGATTACTCTCAACACTTTACAAACATGGAGCAAGACACCAAGGTGAGATTTATATTGCTGTTTCCAGTCATAAATACGAAGGCCAAGATAAGTTGTGCTTGTGCTACATTTAAAGGGTTGGGGTTTAGATGTAAATTCCAAGCCCCTGTGTCTTGGTGATAGCTGTCTTGACATGGAACTTTTCATTTCAGTAGTACTACAACTGAAAGGTCGAAACATCTCTTGAATCCTAAATGTACAGCTTTTATATTTCTGTCTGAAATACGATGCAATAGCAAAGTTAACTTGACAATTACACCTTGTCCATATGATAGCAACAGCTGTCTGTCCTTAGGTCCCATTTTCCATGTAAAGATGATACCTGAAGCCTTCTGCTGATGAGAGCTATTTGAAGACTCTTCTCGGGGGGGGGGGGGGGGGGCAGTTGACAAGGGGCTAAACATGAGCCCGCCGTGGGCCCAGGTAGCCAAGAAGGCAAACGACATCTGGCCTGCATCAGGAATAGCATGGCCAGCAGGAGTAGGGAAAAGATTGGCCCCCTGTACTCAGCACTGGTGAGGCTGCACCATGAGTACTGTGTTCAGTTTTGGATCCCTCACTGTGAGAAGGACATTGAGGTACTGGAGTGTGTCCAGAGAAGAGCAGCCAAGCTGATGAAGGGTCTAGAGAACAAGTCTTGTGAGGAGAGGCTAAGGGAACTGTGATTGTTTTGTTTAGTTTGGAGAAGAGGAGGCTAAGGGGAGACCTCATTGCCCTATACAGCTCCCTGAAAGGAGGTTGTAGTGAGGCGAGTGTTGGCCTCTTCTTGCAAGTGAGTAAAGATAGAACGAGAGGAACTGGCCTGAAGTTGTGTCAGGGGAGGCTTAGACTAGATATTGGGAAGAATTTCTTTACTGAAAGAGTAGCTGGGCCCTGGAGCACGCTGCCTAGGGAGTTGGTTGAGTAGCCATCCCTGGAGATATTTAAAAAATAGTGTAGACATGGCACTTCAGGGCATGCTCTAGTGGGTCTGGTGATTTTTTTCCTGGGTTGATGGTTGGACACTGATCTTATAGGTGTTTCCAACTATGATGATTCTGTGATTTTAAGTAAAGAGTACAAGTCTAGGCTAGCTTTCAATGTGCAGTGTCATGGGTGTGGGATTTGGTGCATTGACTGAAGTTATTTCCTGGGGTGAAAATCTAGGTTTTTAGAAATACTCTGTGTATTGATTGTCAAGCAGCCTGCAATATAAGATCCTGAGCTGGTGTGCAACAGTAAGGCAATGGCCATGCAAGTAGAGATTTAAATCTTCTCAGAAAACAAGGCTATTTTACAATTAAAGGAGGTGTGACTTCTCATAGGACTATTTTAATTAGTAAGTGGTTAGAGAGGATGTTGTGAATGAGGAAGCAGGATAGTGGATTTCTTCACAGAATCACTAAATCACAGAATGTTAGGGGTTGGAAGAGACCTCTGAAGATCCTTGAGTCCAAGCCCCCTACCAGAGCAAAGAAGAATCCTGGAGATTGTTTTTTTACACACAAATGTTAATCTGTACTGGAACTAACAAGTTGTTAGGTTGTAGATAGTTGAAAATTACTTTTGCCTGGAGAGTGAGGTGACTGATGGAGCTAATTAATCTTTTTATTTTTGAGAGAAACTATATTTAATCATATTAACTGGATTATGCCATGAATGGTAGCTTGTAGTAGCATGCATGTTCCTAATTCTAAGACTTTTTTTTTTTTTTTTATGGTTCAATCTTCTGCTTTTGTGCTTAGGTTTAAGTGCCATCCAGAAGAGATTTAGCAGAAGAAAATATATTTACACTAATTGTTAGTAGACCTCAGTGGGCAAAATAATTCCTTAGAGTTCTGTGGTTCTCAAGGGATTAAGATGGACAAGGTTAGGGAATAGTAAGCTCTTGCAGTGGAACTGGAAGCCTTACCAGGTGCCAAGAAATAAGTTGAAATTCATGTCATTGCAGCCAATCTTAATTTTAAAATACTTGGCCAAGATGCTGTGCTCTGCAGGTGAATTATGGCACATGTAACATATGTAAAATTACTTTCTAGTGGAAAAGATCACTGGTGTTATTTAAGTACTTCTAAGAAAAGCTCTATTCAACAAATAACAAGAAGAAAAAAAAGCATAATAATATATATCTAAACTACATCTAAATTTAACTGATTCTATCTGAAGTAAATCTTTAAGTAAAGTGTTTGTGTAAATGATGGCTTTAAAGCACTTGGACTGTTTCTGCTCTTTTAAAGGAGAATAAGCTTGATTCCAGTGAAGCCAGGTACACCAGCCTCTACATATGCAGATACAGTTCCTATACTTCCTTCCTCAGAAGAGGAACATGGTAAGCTTTTGTGGTTGTTAATATCCGGCTAAATCTTTTGCCAATCAGTTCTTTCCAGTATAGACTTCTGTTATAAGTTATAATATTGCAGTATTATAACACAAGCACAGTCAAGCACAAACCTAAACCTGGTTGCAGATTCTAAAGCTGCTTCATTGTCTTGGTGTGTTTGAAAGGTGCTTTTGACAACATGAAATGTGTTCTCACTGCAGTTGCTCTTGGACAACTGCTTATGCGACAGGATGTCACGGCATTTTTTACAATGGTGCATTAGCTGGCACTGAAACCAACTAGAGTAAATTCATTTGGATGTAAGGCCCTCCAGGTTAGTTTTTGGTGGGTTTTTTGAGTGCTGAATTGTTTGTGAATTCAGCAAACCAATTTACTTCCTTAATCTGGATTAATTTAGTTCAAATTATTTTCCTGTCTGCCTATTTCAGAAGGGCCATTACCATCTGATGACAGTCATGAAAATCCCAGAGCACCTAAACATCCTAGAACCGAGGAAACTTCTCTTTCTACATCTGCAGAACAAGTCAGCTGCAATTCAAACAAATAAAGGCTAAGCTTTTAGTAGACTCTTCACAGTCCGAAGGTGATGCAGCCATATCTGAGACTGCATTTCTTTTTGCAAATGTTAAAGCTTCGATTCGTCATGAAGGTACTGCATGCATCTTGGACACAGTTCTGTGAAGAGAGAAGCTGGCAGTAGAAGACAGGTTTCAGAAATGTAGCTTTGCAGAGGAAATAGTTGGGAAGTGACTTCTAAGTGCATTTCTACTTCTTGAAGACAGCTTTCTTCAAGAAAGGCCACAGCTTAAGGAAATCAGAGAAATCTGGGTATTAAAAAGCCATAGAATAGCCTCAGAGTCTTCATCAGAGTCCCTAAGTTGACATTTAAATTATTATGTCTTTCAACAACCTGTCTGGCAAAATAATAGAATTTCTAAGGACTTAATCATAATGATTTAATGCAGTTTAAGAAATAAAAGGAAAAAGAAAAAAAAGAATCAGTTTTATTCAAGCATCTTGGGTTTTATTGTTAGCAATGTGCAAAGGAATTTGTGCTTTCCAGTACATGTGGAAAGAAGCTGATGTTCACATGCTACCAGTGCAGCAGCACACAGTATGATGGGTATGATTAAAACAGAAATTGGAACTTGTAATTCAAGGGACAAGAAAACAAAAAGAAGCCCTCTGAAGACCTGCTGTAAGCACTAAACAGCTGTTCAGTTTCTGCGTTTTTAAAAAAATGCAGACATGAGATTTTCCTGAGGCAGCAGGATTTGAGCATATGCTTTTGAAGTTTCACCCTTTTCATTTTTCACAATCTTAATTCCTTTAGCCAATAAAATATAATATCAATCGTGTGTATATTAAACTTCTAAAAGTTTGTTTCTTTTTAGCATTCAATACTTGCTATATAATTTGTTTAAGACGGACAGATTGAAAACAGTGAGATCACAATATTTGAAAATCACTACACCAGATTTTCTATGGTGTGTTAGTTTTAGCCTTCAGAAGCACAATAAAAGTAAAGACTTGTATTGCAAAGCAAAGCTGCATCTTGCTGTTGTACATCTTGTCCAGTTGGAGTAAAAAGAATACTGGTATTTCATCTTTCTGCGGGTCAGTGACCCACTTAAGTACAGTACTGCAGTGTTTTGTTTTGTGCACTGCAAACAATCCTTTGAATTCAAGCTTACACTTCTAAATACTAATTACAAAGCTATTCTTATCAGTGTTTTTAAATTTTCAGAGGTCCAGCCTCACTCATTCTATGATTCTGGAAATGTTGCTATTTCCAGTTTGCCATGGTTTGAGCAAGTGTCTAGACTTAAGAGGGAAAGTTACTTAACAGATACGGGAGTCCACAGAAATACCTGGTCTTCATGTGGCATTTCTTCCCATCTTGCTCAAAATACCACGGATTTTGTGTAGGTGCATGAAGGGTGGCGAGTAAACATATCTGCTGTGGCTACTGCACAAGTAGTTTTCTGCATTGTCTTGATAGTCTATGTGGATTATGGATCTCGGAGAGTAAGTTAAAGGCAAGTGGTCTATGCCCCTTTTCACGTTGGTTTTCTTGCATGCCATACATCTCTCTGGCTTGATAGTAGATCTTTTTAACAGGTCATCTTTGTGTCCCTGTTCTGCATACTTTGTTGTTTAATTATGTGTCTATGTATGCATAATAATTTTTTAATGTCCGAAAAAATTGTATATTCGTTACATTAATCTATGTACCTTTTTTCCTAAGTTTAGTGAAGAGTTGAAAAAACCCAGGTTACAGCAACACAAACCATGAGACTTCTGTGCAAACGTGCAGGGCGACCACTGGATGTCACTCTGCTAACAGGGTTCCTCTTCCCGGGGCTATAGGGGAAAAAACGCTACCGGCAGCAGGAAGGGGAAAGAAAAACACTATTTTCTTTTTAGAAACAAATTGTATGTGAATTTATATAGCAAATGGGTGTTGCCACCAAAGAAATTGTTTCTACAAGCTTTCCTCTAAGAAGACATGACTTACTTTCTTAGGAAATACATTTTATAATTGACTAAGGAAAGTAAGTCTGTACCATAATAGTCTTTCTCTGTTGAGAGATGTAAAATGATAAACCTGAAATGCCTCTATGCAGCCCCAAGCTTTTCAAGAATGTCTTAAGCATCATTTCTGTTGGAAAGCTCTCTGAAGAGGTCATGGACCAACTGGTTAGTGTACGCTGCAGCCAGCTTTCAATTTTCTTTCTGTGGGTTTCCAAGCTGTGACATGCAGATTGCTACAGGTACACAAAGTATTTCAACATCCAGGAACTGCTGTTGCCACCTCCAGTGCTCACACTGCTCTGGATAGGAGTTGGCAGAAAAGAGAAATATTTCCACACCCAGCCTTTGAGTCAGAAACCAGTTTATCATGTATGTCCATATACAAATACCATCTTGCCTGTCCTGTTGTAAAAGGTGGTGCTGCCATGTTATTTGTCCTCCACCTGACTAAAAGGACATGAAAAGGATGAGGGCAGTCATACAAAGCTGCTGGTGCCTGGGAGAGTGACTTTGGAGGGTGACAGGTTGGAAGGGCAATATGCAAGTGCTCCTCAGGCATGAAATGGGTTTTGTATGCAATAGCAGGAAGATGGACAACTCCTTACTTACATGCCATTTTTTATTCCTGTCCGGAAAGATACTTCTTGCTGCCTCCAGCGTATGTCAGGCTAGTGCTGCCCAGTCACTGATCTGACTATTCTATTGTTGAGTCATTGCTTGTTAAAATCATTAGATTCTCTTGCTTCTCAACAAAAATGTGGACATACCACCTTAAAACCAAAATCCTTCTGTGAGCCACTGAACGAGTGAGGCTTTGTTTCATATACATAAATAGCTAATAACACTGGTGGTTTCAAATAGATTTTGCAACTTTTCAGATGGGGAAGGATTCACTACTGTCCCGCTTCTGGAAAGACTTTCTAGTGTATAATAATGGTTAATTTTTAGACAGCTGGACATCATGCTGCCTGCAGTATTGATGTTGGTTTTAATTTTTCCATCCAGCTACTTATATTAATACGTTTTAATTAACTACTGACTTTTCTCAAAACTTGGTATTTTCCTATGGATTAAAAATTAAATCTGTATTTTGTACACATGCCAAATGTTTACATCCACTGCATTTCTTATAAAGAAAACCAGGTTTAACAAGGTAACTATATTGTATGTTTTCTGCTGTAGCAGTTGCAGGCAGAGGAGGCAGACTAGAGTTATCTGATGGCGCATGTTATGTGATAACAGGACTTGCTATATGAAACCTGTCTACCTTTCACACATCTCTTGGTGCTACTTTAAATAGGTTTTCTGTTGCAGTTCAAAGGCTGAAGTTCGTGGCTACATGGCAATAGCAATTTTCATTGTGGAATTTACATAGACAGGTCAGTATTACAAACACATACGAAACTGGACAGAGGTTTTCAAAGATCAAGGGCCAGACTTTCAGAAGTACTAACACATCACGGGGGCATTGGACTAGATGATCTTAAAAGGTCCTTCCAAACCATTCTGTGATAATTAGAGACTGAGGACTGATGTGTGAGTAGTACTGTTTTGTCAGTGTCTAAAACCTCCTACAAACAGAAAATACAGCTCTTCAATGTGATTAATTAAATGGAAAAAGTGCCTGTTTTACCAGTCCACTTCTAACTCGCCTTGCAGGTCAATGAATATTTCTCACAAATGGCATCTCCCTTCTGCTTCTGACTATGTAATGATTTTCACTAACACATAGATGTGTCTGAGCAAATAGAGAAAATGTATTACCACAAATCTCAGTTGACAGATGAGGTACACCATCAAATACCTTCTCCTAACTTTTAACTTCTGTTTGGAAAAAGTGGAAATACCCACAGGGTGTTGAGGCTACCAGAGTAGCTACTTCATGGCATTTCTTACAGTCTTATTTTTTTTTTATATATTTTTATAAAATGTTACTATTTTTTGTTCCTTTCTACCTGGTGAACAAGTAAACTTGGGAATGGTCTTCGACAGGGAAAAGTTCTTTCAGGAGAAAAATACAACAGGCTGACTTCAATTGAGAGGTCTCCTCTGTACTGCCAGCTGTGGAACAGAACACAACCTCTCCACTCAGCAATGAGTCAGGCAAGTCTGAAGGCTTTTTCAGTGGGAGCTGGCACTGCAGATTCTCTAAGCAATTGACCTTTGATTAGCCAGTGTCCTGGGCTGAGGTGACACATATCCCCAGGTTGCAGAAACATGACAGACTTGCTGCATATGCATCCACCAGAACTGGCTGGTTGCTCCCACAGGCAGAGGTTTGGGCAGTCTTTACATAGAGACTTGTGTGAATTCTGGTGTTGAAAAAAGTTTACCAGGCAAAGAGCATTCAAGGTGCAAAACAGTACTACATTCACCAGGTGTTTTTGTCCACTCCTTGCCTTGTTCCAGATTCTTAAGGAGATCTTACAGCTCTTCCTTGGCAGCTCTTATACTGCCTATAAACTCTGAAGCCAAATCCCTACATTTGGTACCAATTATCATTCTCCCTGGCTAACCCAGAGACCCACACAGCAGTTCTGTTCTTCCTCCTATTTTGGGTGTTGGAGCACTGCCATTTTCTCAACGCTGTTACTTCAGGGAGCTGGCAGAGCTACTTGTTGCAGAAACCCATCTTGTAGGTGCTAAGGTTGCCCTGAATTGGCTGCTCCGGCCTCATACTAAGTGGCCATTTCTCTGTTGCTGCTCCTCTCCACCCTCTTCCATTTATGAGGAGGTTGTCCATGCAGCCTAATAATCTTTCTGCAACTTGCTGAGCCTCCCTGCTGCCCAATTGCTTTGCTGCCCAGGCTGCAGGTGCTCAAACACCAGCTGAGGGGCTAGAATGAGCAAATGGGGAGCAGTTAAGTTTTTCCCCTGTGGCCCCCTTTCATGTCTGCCAAACCAGTGTGTGCTGCTGTTTTTCTTGAGCCTGACAGCCATTTTCAGCCAAGTGATATTGCTGAGAATCCGGCTGCTTATTCCCTCAACTGAAAACCCCAGAAAGCCATGGCC